GCGCTGTCGCTTAGACCGCGGCACCGGCCGCCTCGTAGTGGCGGAGAGGCTGGACCGGGAGCAGCTGTGCGGACAGTCCGCTACCTGCACTCTCCCCTTCGAGCTGCTGCTGGTAAACCCCCTGCAGATCTTTCGGGTCGAGGTGGCCGTGCAGGACATCAATGACCATTCGCCCGTTTTCCCGGAGGAACAAGCCACTTTTCAGATCCTGGAAACGAGCAACCCGGGGTCGCGTTTCCCTCTGGAGGGAGCTCGGGACCTGGATATTGGCAGCAACAGCATCCAGGCATACAGCATCGCTCCCGAGAACGAGTACTTTAGTGTCTCTTTTGGGAGTCGGGTTAAGGACAACAAGTATGTTGAACTGGTCTTGGAAAAGCCTCTGGACAGAGAGGAGCAGGCAGAAGTAGATTTCGGTCTCATTGCTGTGGATGGGGGCTCTCCACCCAGGAGTGGAACCACCCAGATCCGCATTGTGGTTCTAGATGTGAATGACAACGCTCCCGTCTTCACTGAGGAGGTGTACATCGGGCAGGTTTTGGAAAACACACCAGAGGGCTCTGTGGTTCTGAGAGTGGTGGCAACTGATCTGGATGCAGGACCTAATGGGGACATTTCCTACCAGTTCAGCCAAATGGTAGGCCAAGGCCACTCACCATTCTCCATTGACCCTAAGACCGGTGAAATCAAACTGACTAAGGCTCTGGACTTTGAGATGGCTGAGAATCATGAACTCAGTGTTCGGGCCACAGATGGTGGGGGCCTCTCAGCAATCTGCAAGGTGCTGATGCAGGTGGTGGATGTGAATGACAATGTTCCGGAGCTGGTGGTCAGTTCCTTCAGCAGCTCCATCCCTGAAAATGCGTTACCTGGGACAGTAGTTGTCCTCTTTGCTGTCAGGGACCGGGATGCTGGTGCCAACGGGAAGATCTCCTGTGCCCTTGAGGACCAGCTGTCATTCTCCCTGAGGCCAGCCTATGAGAATTACTATGAGCTGGTAACTGTGAGCCCGCTGGACAGGGAGGAGGTGGCACAGTACATCCTGACTATCACAGCAGCAGATACAGGGTCACCTCCTCTCACGACCACCCAAACCTTCACTGTGGATATTTCTGATGTCAACGATAACGCACCTGTCTTCAACCAGACATTGTACACCATGTATGTGCATGAGAACAACGTCCCCACAGCCCTCGTTGGAGCTGTCAGTGCTTCTGATGCTGATGTGGGGCCCAATGCCAAGGTAACCTATTTCCTGACCCCAGTGCACCCCACAGAGCAACCTTCCTGCGCCTGCATCTCTGTGAACTCAGAGAATGGGCATGTGTTTGTGCTGCAGCCTCTGGACTACGAGCAAGTGAGGTATATTGAGGCCTTGGTTACTGCCTCTGATGCGGGGTCACCTCCCCTCACTGCCAAAGTCACTGTTCGCCTTGTTGTGGTGGACGAGAATGACAATGCACCCTTGGTGCTGCACCCAGGCCAGGACAGCAACCCATTGTCCAGTGAGCTTGTGCCCATGTCAGCTGAGACTGGCTACCTTGTCACCAAAGTGGTGGCTGTTGACGCTGACTCAGGGCAGAACTCATGGCTCTCATACCACCTGCTGAAGGCCACCGACCCCGGGCTGTTTGTGGTGGGTACTCAAAGCGGGGAGGTGCGGCTAAAGAGGCCAGTGACAGAAAGAGACGCCGTGAAACAGAAGCTGGTTGTCCTGGTGCGAGACAACGGGCGGCCACCACTGTCAGCCACTGCAGCACTGAACGCAGTCCTGCTCAATGACTTCTCAGATGTGCACCTACCAGCTAGCCTGGGCACGGAGGAGGAGGAGGGAGACTCCCTGACAACCTATTTAATAATTTCTTTGGTCTTTGTTTCACTCCTTTTCGTTGCATCCATGGCAGCTTTTGTCATTCGCAAGGTGTGCAAGCGAAAGGATCTGAAGGGTGGAGAAGTGCTTTATGGTGCTGGAGACCTGCAGAGTGAACTGGCTGATGCAGCTGCCATAGGGACCCTGCCCCACCCCTATTGCTATGAGATTAGCCTCACGACAGGCTCAGGCAACAGCGAGTTCAAGTTCTTGAAGCCCATCCTCCCCAGCCTGCCACCACAGCACTGTGTCGTGAGTAGAGGCACCAACCAGGAATTCCCCCATAGCCCTGTCACCATAGGGGACATGGCACCAGACAATCCTGGGACACTGTCTGCAGAACAGTTCAATAGTCTTTCCTTTAACTAGTGTGGAGTCAGCATAGCCAGAGGCTTCACACCTCGAGATATCAAAGGGTTCTGGGCTACAATGTGTGGCCATGGTTCCTCCAAGGCAAATCTGCATTTATAATTGTCAGTCGGGCAAGAATAGGTTTCATCTCTATTACAGCCATTACTGAAATGCTTCAAGATTGAGGTCAGGTCCAGATCCCCCCAGTTAACTTCTTGCCTTATTTGCTCTTAGGCAAGGCTTTGGACCTCTGATTCTGTACTCTAATGCAATGATAAGGTCAGGCAGGCAAATCCCAGGTTCACTAAAATGCACATAGACCTTTTCCTTAGTCTGGAAACCCAAGGAATTAGTGAGTACTGTGTTACAATGTGGTGCAAGCATGAGACTTTCTTACATGTGTTCTAGGTGTCTCTGTCTGAGATGGTTTGGTCCATGTGTCTTGTCCTCAGCTGTTGTGTGTCTGTGTACGCTGCTCAAGTGCTGCCCAGTGAAGAAGGGAGTTGCTCACACCTATTGAGACGTGCACAGACTCAGGTCAGCAGGCAAGAAGGACCTTTTGACCCTTTGAGTACAGCAGCCTCATTTTCTCTAAAGGAGAAGAGCGAGATACACAAGATCTTCCTTAGGCCCATGAAAAGGGGCAGGGTGGGATGTCTCCTTGGGATTGCATTGATAATGGAGCAACAGACAGTGGTGGTATAGACTGTAACTGTACCGAGTTGTGAAAACACACTCATTGTGTTTACATGGAATTAAAAAAACTCCACAATTATCTTCAAAGGATTTTGTCTGAAGGGAGAACAGAAATTGGAAAATGGCTGTTGAGTTTAGTCTCATTGTTTTTCCTGAATTTAGAGACTTATTGATGGGAATGGAAACCTGTCCAAGCAAGATCTTCTGGGTTTGTGTTAGAGCATTTGCCCTTGTCCTCTCTGAACCATGTTTGAACATTGCCTTACCTCTTCCTCTTCAGAAGGACTGTCACCCCCTGTATATTAATGATTGATTAATTGATGGCAGTGTGGCATGGAGTATTTGGAAACCCTCAGTCTGTGTTGTGCTACAATGATAACTTGTGCTGCTATAAACTGGGATACCCTTGTGTGTAAAAGTGAAATAAAGAGAGCACTGGAATGCCTTGTGTGAAGACAGTTTTTGTGGGTATGTTCCTTCTGGGAAAGCTCTGTCAAAGTTTTCCAAAATGGCAGAGTCTTGTTTTGTCCCCTGGCTCATGTGATGTTCAGTGGGTACATTTCTCGTGTTTGACGTGAGGCCTGGAGAACATGATGCCTATAGAGCATTCAGGACATTTTTAAGGAGCAGGGATTTGCTGGCACGGTTCTGTGTTCTTCCAAACATTGAGCTTCTGGCAGTGACAGAACCCAGGTCAGGGGAAACTCTTCCCTTCCCTAAGAGGGACCCTGGGTGTGCAAAGGCCTTCGCAAAGTGGAGAGCAGTGTGGGAGAGACCTATCCCACTCTCCCAGCACCTCCAGCTGCAGAAGGTAACTGTGAGGTGTTAGAGCACAAAGTTTAGAGAGATGGATCATCCAAAGACAGCACACATGTTTCTTTGGGGAAGAGTTCAGGGGGTCCCCAGGAGGTGGGCATGAGGTGGGTGAAAAAAGCTACCAGGGAGAGGACTCAGTCTCAGGAAATGCAGAGGACTACAGCCATCCCTTCCACAAAGGCCTTGACAAAAACCTAAGTTCTGACTTGATGTAGTGATGGTGACCAGAAGACAATTGTACATTGAGGATTGAGTGAATCACAGTTCCTTCAAACTGGGAAGGCCCAGGCCTGTGCTTTCTTGTGCAACATAAATCCCTGGTCAGCAGGATAAACTCAGCCAACTCATTAGAACCAAGGAAGCTGCAGGCAGCTCCTACTTGCCATTGGTGAGAAAACTGCCTGTGAGCAAGAAGTCCACGTAGGAATTTCTTTTACTAAAAATTATGTATGGAATTTAAGTTTTGCAGTGAAGTCCTAAAATGGCTTGAATGCCAGAAAAGGGGACACTGTGTTTTCTATGACCAAGGTCTTCATGGTACTCTGTGTGTGCCTGGAGTCCTGTGTGAAGCTACTCTGCTCAGGGTTCTCCTCTGAACTCTAAACCCTCTGCTCAGGGTTCTGCTCAGGGTCCTCCTTTGAACGGATGGACCGTTATATATTCTAATCTCTTCCAGTTGTGTCAGCTACAATAAACAGAGCCATGAATGATATCTCAGCTGAAGCTTCTGGTGATCTCATCCCTATGGGAGATCACATTGTCAAGAATGATGGCCCAGGTTCCTTTCAGGTGCATTTTTATTTTTTTTTAAGTAACATTCCTTTATGTACACAGTGCTTAGGATTCTGAGGGCAGCCACATCTATCTCAAAGTACACAACTCACAGTACTGGAAATCACATTTTACAATGATCACCAGCTGATGAATATCACCCCCTGAACATGTGCTGAATCTGCTGTATGAGTTTTATGGGCCATATTCACCACCAGCTGGGCTGAGTTAATCTTGTCTGGTTTTTCCTAGGGCTGGAAGTTTCTGTTGCATGTGCATAGGGAAATTTCAGACTCTGCCTTCCTCTGACACCTCCTTGAAACTTCTTAAATACTTCCTAGTACCCAGTTCCCAGAATTTCATTACCACCTGTGTATTAGCTCTCAAATGCTGATAGAATTGGTTAGCCTAGTAGTCAGCACCTCTGAAGTCTCAGGTTACTTGGAAATCTGCCTTCAACAAATAAATTAATCAATCCTAATTAAAGGACTGTCAGTTCCACAAATAGGTTTGCATTACATGGTGAAAAATTCTTCTGATATCCCCCCCAGTGCTGGTCTTCCTGACTTAACCTTTGGATTCAATACAAATGAAATTGGCAGTTAATGTATAATCATTGACATAAAATATTTAATGGAATACAGATGAGAAATAATTAAAAACAAAAACAAAAACACACCAATTCATCACAGCCTATTTATCCTGTGTCTAATCTGAGAATATAAAATATTTTATTCCTTTATTTCCTTATCATATTAAAACATTTTTTTCCCGCCAAACACACCATTCTGTTCTGACAGCATGGATGCCAAACAGGCTTCCTTGGAAGCAGCTTGTCATATTTCCTTCATTAGTGATTTTTCAGCATGGACATTGAGGCTTTTAGGACTTCAGGAATCTAATGAATGAATAATAGTATGTCGTGCTATTTGTTATTCTGCTTTTAAGCTGGTGATACATTGTAGTGCTGCAGTTAGAAAAAAAAATAGAGGCACATAAAAAATTACTGTTTTCAGGTTGAGAGAATTATATCGTAAGGTTCCTGGTGAAGGTCCACACAGATATTTTTTTTTAAATGTTGATCTTAGACCAGGTACTGGTCCTTCTGTGTATGGTGGGAACCTGAGTCAAACTCATGCTTCACATGAACTAACCTTGTGTTTGTTACTAACTTCTGCTGCCATCCATCAGAGAATACCACATGCATCATGTATATGGGAAGAAAATATTGGCTGGTTCTTAGCTGTGTCCTCCTGGGACTTAACTGTGCTGTGGCTTGTGGACTTGGGTGCAAGGTGAAGGAGCAAATCCTGGGAGAAGGAAACATCAATCTTCACTTGGAAACAGCGATTTGGAAGGTGCTTTGGTGTGTGAAGATCCATAAAAATGTGCGTCTGGGTTGGGCTACGCAATTCTTGCTATGTAAGAGGCAGTGAATTATCCCCAACAGGTTTCATCACAGTCCTCCCGTCCCCTGTTTAAACATCCGTTTCCTTCTCCCGGCCTCATACACAGGCACTTGGTTGCTACCTTTTGACATCTGAAACACTACAAATTCAAACCAATTTCTTATTCTGGTAAATTATTAATTTGTTACTGTGAGTCGTGTATAGATGCAGCTGGAGGAAAAGAAAGTATCCTC